TGTGTGTGTGTGTGTGTGTGTGTGTGTGTGACAAAAAAGATAGATAGATAGATAGACAGACAGAGAGAATATATGTATATATTGAACTTAATTCTGTAATTAAGGCAGGCCTTGAACTTGTGATCATTTGTCTCATTATAGGTCTTTGTATAAACTGATGTTCCCAGGGGGAAAAAAAAGAAAAGTCATACCTGTGTTAAAGGATTCTACAAGGCTGAATGGCTGAACTTTGTGTGTGACTGTAGATAGTGTTGAAGACCAGAGCCAGATTATCTTAGACTGTCTTCAGTCCCTTTAAAAGCCATCCATTGTCTACTCCTGTGTCTGAACATCCCTGTGACTATCAAAATCTTTAAAATGTATTCTTTGTGTGTATGGAGAGTTTGGTATTGATGTTTTCCTCAATTTCTCTCTCCTTGTTTTCTGAGACAGTGTCTCTGATTTAGACCAGAGCTTGATGATATGACTGAAATGACAAGTGAGCAAGCCACAGGGATCCATGTCTGTCTTCCCAGAGTGGGGATTACAGGTGCCTGCAGCCAGGCTTGGCCTTCACATAGGTTCTGGGGACCAAACTCATGTCTTCAACTTCGTGCAGCGAGCATTTTCCTGAATGAGTTACCAGCCCTAAAATCTAATTTCAGCAGAACACTAGCTCCTACCAATCTAAAAGCTGAAAGTGTTATCAGACAACACCTCAGACCTATAGTGTTCCCTTGGTTTGCTGTAGCCTGCCTACTTGCAGCCACCACCAGAGCACTCAGTAAATGCCCTGACTTACGGCTTTCTTTGTTCTGTAACTGCAAACTCTCATGTAACTACTTCCAGTGGAATATGTCTTTCAGGGCAACCTCATCTGTGCTCCCAGGCTATCATCACTTATGTCTGGAACAAGTATGAGCTGTATTTCCTGAGGTGAGGTGTGTATTTGTGTCAACAGCACCAGCAGCCCTGGCAACTGTCAGCTTCTTAATGAATGTATTGTTAGTATAAAATATTTACCCCAAAATAGTGGTGCTCATTTTTACCTAAGGTGGGGGGCAAGTGTTTGTGATAATTTAGTAAGAGAAACCATAAAGCTTCTTGTATCAGATCAACTGTCAAATTTATAAATTATTTAGTAATAACTGACTAGTGGCATTCCTCAGCAAAATTAAAATTGCGGGAGCTTTCCATTTAAATTCTATCACTTAACCAGAATGGCCACATGCTATTCTAAGCACAGAATCTATGTCATAGTATGGACAACAATCTTACACTATTAACTCTCAGGACCAGCAGATACATGCTACTGCAATAGCAGTTTTGTCCCACTGAATTAAGACTCAAACACAGCCTCACAAAAATGGTTTCTGAAAACAGTTTACCTGAGTATTTAAAAGCACTCTACTGGTTTCCATTAGTCACATTTCTGGACCACCTACGGATGAGAAATTGTAGTGGCTAAGTCGTGGGCTGATACTGTAATGCGCTTTAGTAAAAGGAAGTGAAATAACTGATTGACAGTTCTTGGGAAAAGGTTAAAAATTCAAAAGGAGTGTCTGCATGTGGCTCAGAACTTAAAAGCTTTTTTTCTCTTCCCAATAGAAGAGCAGTAGCAAGTAATAGCAGGTTGCCATGGAGACAAGAAAATAGAGGGATCAGAGAACTCAATTTGCAGTTAAATGGGCTGGAAACAATCCTTACTAGTTGGTGAAGGGAAACGATTAAAAATATACTTGATTGCCAGAGGGAATCTTGTACACTTACCCATTTCCTAACCTCATTAATGAACAAGGAGATCTTAAAAAAAAAAAAAAACCAAAACACTAAATGAAAATCCAAGGCATTCATAGGTTAAATCCACTGAGCATAATTCAGGGTTTCGAACATTAACATAATTCTTCCTATCTGATCGACTGTGATTCTTGTTAATGATGTTTGTTAATATACAGTGAATGAGACTAAAACTGTATTCAAGGATAAACCACAACAATCAGGGGCTGGAGCTTCAGTGGAAACCAACAGCACAAATAGTAAGGTCCAGGGCAACAGACTCAGGAAGAAACAACTCAGATTTGAAAGTCTCAGCATACCTTTGTGAGTACTGTACAGGGCTGCAAAGGTCACGGTGAAGAAAGTGGTGGAATATTTGCCAGCATTTACTAAATGAGGAAAGGCCCTTTTTGTGTCACGGTACCGGCGCAGGCACTGGATGAAGCGAAGCCAAGCAGGAATGCACTGAACAATGGCTCGCACACCATATGTGTATCTGTGGCAAAATTCTGGTTCTGTGAAGATTTCAAAGAAGAAGAAGAAGGAAAAATTACAATTCAAAAGAATGAATTGTTCACACCATTTAGTCTCACAGTCCAAATACCCATCAGCGTATAAAATCCAAGTCCTCCCCATGGGTTCAGTCATTCTCTCCTATGTAACTACTTACTGTGTGCTCAAGCTTCTCAGTGGTGGATAAGCCAATGAGAAAAGGTAAAAACTCCAGAGGAACTACTGGGAAAAATCTGTCCTCTTGGACTTCTTAATATCCTAGAATTAATGTTTTTTTCAAGTGCAATAAAACTATAGGAAAAAAGTCTATGAATCAAAAGAAGAAAAAAACTGTTTTGTTCTATGATGTTAAACATATGGAAAACCAACAAAAATCACAGGTACCTAGACAGTTTCATAAGTGCCAAGTACTATAAAATATGTACACAGAGTACATATTCTATGGACTCCCTTTTAATCAAGAACAAGGTATAGGGTTCATTATTAATTTTTTACTGCTACTTTGTTGTGTTTTTACTTCTGAGACAGGGTTGCATCATTATGCAGCCTAGGCTGAACAGGGACTTATCCTACGGCTTTGGCCTCCTCAGTGAAGGAATAGCAAGTGCATGGTAGGCTGTCACACCCAATTTTTCATTCTCTTTTGTGAATAAATGCTCTATGTATGACCTGTCTACATTAGATCTTTGTGACGAATGCAAACTTCCTAACTATACAAACCTGGCATTACCTAAGTGTGGGTAAAGAGCCAGAAGAAAAATAAAGGTTTCAAATAAGATTTGTAAAGCAATCTACCACAACTTTTCCCAAGGCATTTGACCTGATTCTAAGCAGTCAGTCAGTACTTTGATCACGGTACCTACAATGCTATCCCAAGCATTTTTGTGAGGACTAATTGCTGGCACTCTAGCATTTGTGATACAGTTACCAACACATAGGAACGTTGAGAAATAACTGCAGAGTTCTTCAGTATAAGTTGTAAATTTCTTGGCAAGTGGATGGCTAAAATAACACAATTTAAAAGCCAAATTATTTCAGTTCAGGAGATTGCTAACAGAATGCCAAGTACATTTAATTAAATTTGAATGCTATTGGATGAGTTTTCACCATGACCTTAACTGTCGCAGTTATCATTCCCAATATTTCTTGGTTTATGTTGGCAATCCAGCAGTGTGAATACAAAATCATAGCCTACCTTGTAGATCATTTGGCAACAGGCCCTTACTCTCATCCCACTTGAGCTCAAAACTGTAGAAGCAGATCATATATTCCAGGTCCATGAGTATCACTGACAGGCTGTTCAGCTGATCGGCCAGCCAGAAATCAGCAAAGCCTACCTTATGGAAGGGAGCTGTAAATACTCGAAACTGAGAAAAAGAAAGGAGAGAGAGAGAGAGAGAGAGAGAGAGAGAGAGAGAGAGAGAGAGAGAGAGAG